TTCCAGCGGCATTCAGATCACCTAAAAGCGACTTTTACTCATTCCCTTTTTTATATTCTCCATTGAATCTGACATTTGCAGGCACGTTTTTATGGTCTTCTCCTTCCATTACTCCAGAAAACCTGTGTTTTGGTTCCCTAATCCACGTCTATGCCGCGGTGTTAAACGGTTTCTGGCCGTCCATTGAGCTCCAACGGCACCCTGTAAATCCCCCGCACAGGGCAGTTGTTAAGGCACTTTTAAAAAAAATGAAAAAAAAAAAAAAAAAAGGCCGAACAAGTCAGCTCAATTTTTGTATTTATTTTTTTGCGTTTAATGGGACAAATGAGTAGCGTTCCAGCTCGGGAGCACAGTGACATTATTGTTCCCGGAGAATAAACACGGTTAAGGTCCTGCGTGGTCTATAAAAGTCCAGAATAAACAGCTCTCTCAAAGCCCGGTATTGAATGTCTGTTTATGACTTGTAATATGAAGTGCAGAGCCCTAAAATCACTAATTGCATCAGCTATGTGGATTTGTTGGGAGGACTCTTAAAAGGCCAGCACTGGTCCGATCGTGTGTAGGCTTTCGAGTGTGTGAAGGCTCGGAAAAGGCCAATAGGTCTAATCTCCTACCTCTGATGTCCGACAAGACGTACATAGGTCCATTTATTGGTTTTAGCTCTTTTGTGTACTCCAGGATTACACGTTTACTGAGTCTTATACATATGTGCATGAGGGGGAGTGTAGCTTTAGAGAAACCGAGGGCTGACATCACAGAAAAAAAATGGTTTCCTTTCCCCCCGATGTCTGCAGGCCGGTTTATTAAAACATGTTTCCCTCTTCCGCTGAGATGAGAGGGGGGCGAGCGGCCGATCTCTCAAACATGTGCAAGTGACGACTTTCTCAGTCGACGCGCCATAAAAAAGCTGACAGGAGGAGCCATGTTTGAGATTTACTGGAGGAGTTATTGAACCTCCAGGATTTGATCCGCTCGCGTTTTTCGTTTTTGTTTTTAAGTCGAATAAGAAACGAAGAGACTGGACGTTCTTAACAAACCGCCTGACAGTTTCTGCAACGCGGAATCACACAAACAAACATCGGGGAGTGAGGTGCGAGGAGTCCGAGGACATCTGGGGGGGGGGGGATGGAAAAGGCGGAGAGGAAACGCGGAGAAAGGGGACATTCATAACCGTGTGTGAGCGGCTATGCAGCCCAGTTGGCTGTCTCTGCGCGCACCATCACCTCATCACTCAGCGGCCCGACAACCGCCCCCCCACCCACTCCCCCACCCTCACCCCCCCCCTAAAGGCTAAAGTGGACGCATTACAAGGGCGTGGCATCACAGGGAGCCGTCACCTCATAGCTCAGCGCAGGTACGGGCTCACTCGTGAGTGCTGGACACAGATTTAACACCAGGCCCGTCACCGCGGCGACGGCTGACCCGCTGACGGACGGCCTGACCGACAGCTGGAGCTGAATGGATGGTGTTTCGATGATGCTGAGGTCATCACACAGAAAGAGCAACCCAAAAAAAAGAAAAAAACTGCTGTGGAACAAAATCCAACAGTGTGTGCTAATCATATTTGCTAGCTACAGTATATAGCTTTACCACAAATAATAAATAAGTTAAATGAGGAATAAAATGAATGCCAAATCATACATATGTGTATATATATATATACAGTGGGGAAAATAAGTATTTGACCCCTTGCTGATTTTGCAGGTTTGCCCACTTACAAACGATCTATAACTTTAATCATATGTACATTCTAACAGTGAAAGACAGAATCCCAAAGAAAATTCCAGAAAATCACATAATATGAATTTATACAAATTGACAATTATCTGATGAGGAAAAATAAGCATTCTTTATAAGTGGGCAAACCTGCAAAATCAGCAAGGGGTCCAATACTTATTTCCCCCACTGTATATATATATATATGTATGTATGTATATAGATAGATAGATAGATAGATAGATAGATAGATAGATAGATAGATAGATAGATAGATAGATAGATAGATAGATAGATAGATAGATAGATAGATAGATAGATATTTTCACATCTAGTGAATTTTTTTTTTTCTAAAATAAAAAGATAAAAGATATATATGAAAATACATGTAGAAATATATCTGCTTATCAGTGACTTAACTGTGGTACCAAAAGACCACATCAAACTCATAAAAAACAAAGTCTCCTGGTATTTGAGGTTGATACATTCCTTGACTTCCGTTGGTTTTTGCTGTGTAAGCTAATTTAACGTTGGGCTGAGCGGCTGTGAGGGGAGGCCTATGGCATCTACCTCCACACTGGCCCAGGCCTGCGTCTCCTGCCTCAGATTCGCCGCCACAGGCCCACAGAATCAGTTTGGCTGTCTCTGATCGTATCACAACGCCACGCAGGCCTGATGCCGACAGATTTCGCAACGTGAACGTCAACAAGTAACACAATCTCCTGTCCGTCAAAGCCCGGGAAGCAGATTATGGTTAGGGTACGGCACACTTTATTTTAAGGATTAGAAACGTGGCAGTGGCTTCAAATAACATCACTTGCAGAATCAAAACAGACCCACAGCTTCAGCCTGAGAAAGTCAAAGTAAAACACATCTTATCTGTTAGGATTCATAGTCCGCTGACTTAAAATGACCAGCGGAAAGCTGTCGGCCCGGGTATTTTTGGGCTTCTCCCTGTTGTGAGCTGAGCAGAGCAGCAGGTGGCGGGAGGTGTTTCAGTCCAAAGGAGTCGGGGTAACAAAAGGGCCTGTGTGGAACATTTCAAAGGAAAGACTGCCATCTTGTGAATGAACAGCATGTTCATTCCCCCAACCCGGCATTTCTGGTCCCTCAAATCTTGAGTTCAATGGCTTTAGGGGTCCAGATTGTCAATTTAAGTCAGGAATAATAGAAATATGTTCAAAAGAGAAGGTAATGGTTAATCAGAGACAATTCATTGGCTATAATACTGCTGTATTTCTGCTTCATTTGCATGAAAAGAACAGCCAGTTTAAAGCTCTTGCCAGGTTTTAAGTGGGGACCATGCTAGCTTTTATCCAAAACGCAAATGCTTGGATGTATTTTACAGACTTTCTTTATCATATATGGAATAACTAGACTGTTGTGGTAGTTTTCCCTCTTTTGGAACGCTGACTTTATCTTTGTATTTAAAATGTGTAATTATGTATTTAAAAGTTTTCTTTGTAAATTGGTTCTGAAGGTCCAAATAACTTAGTAACAAAATGTGAATTAGATGTTAAATACCTGACTGGTGCAAAACTATTTTCTTTCAGATTTCAAACATCACCGTCTGATAGGGGCTACTATGAGTTCAAGAGGTCAAAGTTGAAAAAGAATGAAGCATGGTGGTACGGAATAGCAAGAATGCAATGCCCTCATACGACCACGCAGGTTTATTTTCATTACGTCTGAGAGAGTATTATTATTCATCTATTTGAGAAAAGTCTGAGAAAGTATTATTATTCATCTATTTCCAACCACGGGCCTCTGGAGCTAGCCGGGGATGGTAAACACACCCCAACTAAAAACAAATAAACCTGCAATTGTCCACACCACAAAATACTGATTGTTCTTGCAGCATATTTACATCCTTATAGCATTCCTCTGAAGATAAGTCAGCAGTCAGGGAAGAAATACAAAAGCATGACAAAAAAAATAATTTTAATCCTTTAAAATGTATCAAAAAACTAAAGACTGAGCACCAGTGTGGTTCTTATCCTGTAAATCACTCCCTAAAACAAAGTCCAGTGACTAGCAATTTCCTCAAATGAGAGAAAATCTCCTGAAAACTGTGTGTAAAACTGTATATTTCCCTATATTCCCTCATTCACTCCATTGACCAAGTGAAGGCAAACCACAGAAATATTTTAACCGTTTCAACTCTCCTGCCTTTTTTCTGCCTTATTAATAACTTTTGGTCATTGTGACACGAATCGGCCCAACTTGGGAAACAGTATTTGGATATTCGATTGTCGTGGAAGCTCATTTTGGGTCAAACCTGGCGGCGGTCAGCCTTCTGGGCGGGGTGACCCCGGCGCCCGCTCACAGGTTCGGAGCCCTCGCTGGAACGTCGTATTTTCCATTTTAATCAGTTTACGATGACTAATATAAACCGCAGCTGGGTGCTAATGCGATATCCATGTTGTTCATGTGCGTGAGAGTGACCTGGGATTTTCCTAAAGAATTTTTAATTTTGCTAGGTGTGACATTTACAGCTCGAGAGACCGAACCCAGCCTCGTAAAGGGCTGCGGCCCACTCCCCCCCCGCTCCCTTTTTTCCCCTTTCCTTCTTACAAGCCTTTAAAAATTCTGAGTTAATTTGTTTTTTTGTCCGCTGCGACTTTAACGCATGAAGTGTGACCGAGAGGTGTTTTAAAGAGTTCATTTCATCATTCCAGAAGTGCTCCGTGGTCGGGAAATAAACACGCTGGTGGAAAATGAAGTGTCTGATGTGGGTGTGAAGCCTTTGAAAAGGCATGGGGCTGAGTAATGCGCCGAGCTGAAGGCCGAGGAGCCTTTTCTCTTCTTCTAAAAACGGTAAATTAAGCCCAAAGTTACGGGCCCGTAAAGTCAGTTCACATCTTCGCTGGCGGGGTTTGGCTGGATCCGCTCTGCGGGGCGTTGCCGGTAGCGACCAGGTGGTCGGGCGCTCAGGTCGGAGAACGCCCACCCCCCCCCCCGCTCCCGTCTTTGGTCTGGTTTTGGCCCGGGTCCTGAACGGCTCCCCCCGGGCTTGTTAGACAGAAGCCAGCCTAAATCAAACGCCTCCTTTGTGTGTGGCGATCCTGAATGGAGCTCTCATTTGGACGGGACGCCGGTTTTTTACTGGGTTTCGTTTCTTATTAAACCTGGAGAAGCTGTGAGAAAACATCGGATGCAGTTTATTTAAGAAACAAATGTTTAACAGAGACCGAGAGAGAGGGACTGTGAGCCCCTGAATTAAAGCTCAGGGGAGCTGGAGGGTGGATGTTCGCACTCCCAAAATAAAAACTCTACATCATAATTTAAGCAATGGTCAGGAGGGCCCTCTCCCTCCTCCTCCTCTTCTTCCTCTTCTCCTCCAGCCGGCCCGTGGCTTCAGCGAAGAACATCACGTCCTCTTTGCTCTCGATCTCCCGCTGGAGGAACTGGAGGCCGGCGCTGTTGAAGCCCATCATGTCCTGGGGGAGGGAGGGGTCAGAGGTCAGGGTGAGCAGGGCCGGTGTTCTGTCAGGTCAGCATACCCGTAGTTAATATGCATGCACTACCTTTAGCAGAAATCTAAGAGATTGTTGAGGGTTGTAGTTTAAGGTAAAACACACAAACTTACCAGAAAACAACACCGAAAGTCAAGTACTTTTGTTTGCAAATGAACTTAGAAATGCTATTTCTAACAATTTCGTATTTAAAGCATGTGCAGTCCCTGGAAAATTAGAAGATACAAGCAAATAAAATACGTGGCAAAAGATTGTACATCAATTTGATCATCGATTGAACTGTTCCTTTAATCCCAACATTGAACGAGATTATCATTACTTTTTTTATGTGCTAACTACAACCTTGCTGGTAGTAAGCATCATGCTCAGTGTTTGATTCGCTTCAATTAATCTGTATCCAAGATGACGTAATGTCCAAATCAAAATCAACGATTGGCTGGGCGGGAGGTGTGTTTTGTACGGGACGCGTTTTGTAGATGCTAGACCCTTCTGTGAATACACTTTAAACTACGCCACCGCGCGAGTATCCCTTTAGTTTTGTACGAAAAAATACACTGTAAACTACGACGGCTTCTCCGGGCGTACTCACTCGGATTTCGGTCACTTTGGAGAGCGTGTTGCTCCGCAGCTGGTCGATGACGGACAGCAGCATCTGGTTGCTGGTGATCTGACCAAAGTGGATCCTGGGGAGGAAACAAGTGACATCAACCCTCCCCAAAGCTGTTTTTCCACCAGAATAATCCCAGCAGCTGCATCGGCGCTGTGAGCCCGGAGTCAAGGCTGTTCCTGTTCGGCCTGTTTGGGCTCAAAGAATGAACAGCTGAGCGTCTGAACCTCCTCTGTTGGTGCTATCATGTGATTAAAAATCAATTAAAAGTCCTCTATGTTGGAAATCGAAATCCATTCTGCGTAATTCACTCGAAATCCACTAGACTACTAATTATTACATTATTACTATTACACTATTATTACTATTACACTATCACTACTAATCATGAATCACTGCTCATTTATGGCCTTTTTGGAGGATAATTACATTAGAAAGAATTCGGTTTTAATCAGTTTGAACTATGTGAATGAAACTGAGTTGAATTAAATCTGTATCTACCAAAGACATCTGGAGAATGTTTTTCTTGTTATCAGTATGAAAGGATGTGGCTGTAAACTCTGACCTGTGAGTGAATTCAGCCCACAGATCACATACTGGGCGTATAAAGAGGTTTCGGAGAGACGACGGATTTCCTTCTTTTTTTCTGTAAAGTCCTTATATTCTGCTGGTTTTTCTCACTTCATTCTCACCCTTCCTCAACAGTTCCACAATGGTTGGAGCGTCGGCTTTAGCGGACTCACCTGAGGAGGAAAAACAGGCAGCGGCAGACCAGCTCCACGTCCAGGCCCTCCTGGATGTAGCCGTTAAAGAGCTTCAGCAGCTCGGGGACGTAGGGGAAGGGCAGCACCAGCAGGGACACCTCCAGCTCACTGGTGACCACATGAGAGCGCGTTTTAATGGCCAGAGCCGTGTGTGTGAGTTTGTGTGTGTGTGTGTTCGTCTTTTTACCTGGATCGGACTTTCTTTATGACGTCTAAGACGTGGCGGGACGGCTGTGAGAGGGGCAGAACCAGTGGTTTGGTTATTACTAATAACGGTGGACAGCAGGCTGAGGTTCAGATGAGCATTTTCCCGATTGGTCCACTTACCGAGACGCTCCCAAAGGCCACGAGGACGGGGTTCGGTTTGGGAGCAGGAAGCTGAAAAACAGCATTAGCTGAAACCTCTGCACACATGAACACTGAACTAAGCCCGAAAGAAGACTTTGCATTGGCTGTTTTGATGCTGCAAATTGTTTCGCGGCATTGAACGAATAGTAAAGTTAGTTAATATTAAAGTTAGACCGCTTTAAAAACGGGAGGTTTGAGGCATTCATTCCTCCAGGACCTAAAACAGTTCAGGGAAACGAGCGGGAACAAGTCGCCACCTCTTTGCCGGCCCTCTCGCAGGCGTATTTGTGCTCTTCCATCTTCCGGAGTTCCCCTCGGTAGAGCTCCAGAGCCTCCATTATTCGCTCGGCCTGCACAGAAACAACAGAACAACAAGTCATAGTTCAGAGGTGCACGTCTGTCTGGATATGAACAGCACAACATGCATGAAAGGCTTCATAGACAGTACATCTACAAAAAGGCTAGAGTGGAAAACTGATTAGTTATATGTGTGTAACTACTTAACTAACTATTCTACTTTTGAGTTTTTATTTGAAACATTTTCCTTTTTTATTCCCCATTTTCTGCTCGATGATTTGGACTCTCCCCTTATTGGTTTTGCTTTTTATGAAAACAAAGGAAACTAAACAACTAATAATATATTTATAATATATTATAAAACACATATAAATTCTTCTTATGATACATTTGAGTAACGAAACACATTGGGGAATATATAGAGAAAAATCCTTGTATCACATACAAATATTTTCTTTTTTTTTTATTCTGTGAAAAACACTCACGGCTTTGACGGTTTCTATGGTCTTCTTTCCGGCCGGAGCGGCCTCTCCCTCGGTCTCTCCGGGTACCTGCAGAGCGACACACTTTAATGGTTCGAAATGTTTTAAAAACGTCCTTTTTGAGGCTGTGGGGGTCCTGTCGGAGGACAGAGGACAGACGAGGGGCCACCCACCACCGGCGTGTCTCCTTTGGCCATGCTCTCCTCGAACTCCGCCTCTCTCTCCTGTGGAAAAAAAACAAACAAAGACAGGATGTTTAAGTGGCGTTTGCATTGGTCGCCGCGGTTCGCTTTGCCTCGCCCCCCCCATTCGCACCATCTCCCGCTCCTCCTCCAGGATGATGGGCTCCCGGGTCCGCTCCCACAGGCGCAGAGACTTGTCGTGGGACGAGGAGACCAGGTGGTCCCCGTTGGGGCTGATGGCCAGACACCAGACCTCCCGGTGGTGGCCCTGCGACACGGAGAGAGCATCGGTCATCACCACGGACCAGGCTGAAGATACCCGCTAACCCCCGTAAATAAAGACTTCTGGTCCCGGGAGGAGAGCTTCACCTCCAGGGTCTGGATGTGCTCGAACTTGTCGGCGTCCCACTGCTTGATCTTCTTGTCCTTCCCGGCCGTGAAGAACAGGTGGGTTTTGGGGACAAACTGGAGGAACATGACGCTGTGGAGAAGAAGAAGAACAACAAAAGAAAAGAGACAATGAAGACAAACTACAGATAATAAGAGAAGCATAAAAACAAGGAAGTGTGGAAAGGATAATAAAAACGGTGGAGAGGAAGAAATTGAGAGCATCTCGAGGGAATCGCAAGCAAAAAGAGGATAGAAGTGAGGCTGATTGGAACAAAGAGAGCAGCTGGAAACTGAGTGGGTCGGTTCAGTGGACGAGATCCTGTTACCTGTCGTCATGCGCAAACAGAGATCTGTGGCAGTCGCCGAAGTCCAAACCCCAGATCTTCACGTTCCGGTCGGCAGATCCGGTGGCTATTAGCGTGCTGTCCTGTTAGCGCAAGAAGACAAAACCAATTCCACTGACGTCACGCAGCAGGAAGGAGTTTTACTATTTAAAACCAAACACTAAAACCTGACCTTTCATGCTGCATTCTAAAATCATTAATAGGAAGCCACTTTGTGGTTTTGCATCCTGGGTTTACTCACGTGGGAGATGTCCAGGCAGAGGACGGGCAGCTTGTGTCCATACAGGGACAGGAAGAACTGGAGCAGCAAGAGGAGATAGTTCTGTCAGGACGCAGGCCTTTCCCAACAGCTTGTATATATGTGCAGAAAAAGGGCCGCACACCCTTGTTTCTTTATTTTACCGATAAAAGCGGAACGGACGAAAATGGATTTGGGTGAAAGCGAGCACAGAAATCTTTGGGCCACGTTCTAGATGCATTCGGGCAAAAAAAAAACCTACCTTCAGGCTGTCTGTGTAGAAGACCTTGACGGTGGAGTCCAGCAGGGAGGCGGCCAGCAGCCTGTGGTCGGGGGAGAGCTTCACACACAGGACGTCCTCCTCCAGCTGCAGCGTGCGCGTGTGCTTCACCGCCAGCCTCCTGAAACACGCACAAAAAAGAGCAGCGTCAACAGAGACCGGCCCAGAAGCACGCCTCCCAAAAGCCGGGGCTTACTTCTGGCTGGTGTCCTGGTCCTTGACCAGCTCGAAGTCCCAGAACTTCACGGTCTTATCTGCGCCCCCTGTGACGATCCCCCTCTGAGAAACAGAAAAAAAGCCACAGAAAATCCAGAGATGTCAGTGATGGGATGAGATCTGGTGCAAAGTTTATATGATTGGGAGTTTCCTGCTGTCCCCGTGTTCCTACTCTGTTCCTACAATTCATAGTCTTATTGCTGTCATTCCTGATATCATTAGCATTAGTATCAATATCATTGCCATTTTTCACCCAGTATTTGTGTTACTGTGTAGGCTGCCTCCCTCTCTGCTCCCTCTGTCTTTCTCTCACCCTCTCTCTCTTGCCCTCTCTCTCTCTCATCCCCAACTGGCCGAGTCAGATGGCCGCCCACCCTAAGCTGTGGTTTTTTGCTCCAGGTTTCTGCCTGTTAAAAGGAACTTTTTCCTTCCCTGTGTCGCCTAGTGCTTGCTCTTGGTGGGAATTGTTGGGCTTCTGTCTGACCTGCTCTGTTTGGAAAGCGCTGTGATAGATATAACTGTTGTTGTGATGTGGCGCTATAGAAATAAGATTGAATTGAATATGAGGCAGGTCCGAGTCGGGGGCTACCTGGTCGGGGGCCAGGCACATGGACCACAGGGCTCCGTCGTGGGCCTCCACCGTCTCCAGGAGGCTTCCCGAAGCCAGCTCGAAGATCTGGAGCTTCCCGCTCTGACAGAAAGCCAATCGAATTAGAGCTTGCGAACGAACTCGCCGTCTAACAACCGGACCGGGAGGCCGAGCGCTTTGAATACCTTCGTCCCGAGGATTATCTGCCGGTCTCCGGGCACGAAGAGCGAGCAGAGGGCGTACTCGCAGGCCATGGTGCGGACGACCTGCAGGGTGGACCTGTTCCAGACTTTGACGGTGTCCCCGGAGGCGGAGAGCACGGCCAGGCTGTCGGAGCTGAAGGCCAGCGTGCGGGCGTCGGTGCGGTGGCCCCCCAGCGTGAGGCGGGCCGTCTTGCTGGGCGCGGGGGTCTTGTCCGCGGGCCTCAGGCTGTAGGTCTCCACCGTGTTGTTCTGCAGCAGCAGCGCCAGCTTCAGCTCGCCGCCGCCGCACGCCAGGCAGTCCGCCCACCTGAGGGGAATGTGTAATGTGGAAGCCATTTTTAAGAGCCATCTCCCAGAGAAAGTACATCTATAGGGGGGGTAATTAGTCCTTTGGTGCAGGCCTCAGCACCATCAAATCTCTGACTCATCATGTATGTATCCTAGACCGTCCAGACTTGAAATGTTGGCCATAGGTGTGAGGTGGTGCTCCCCGTTCCCTTTGAAGAGTCAGCAGCCCCGCCCTTTCCCTCCGCCCGCCCCGTACCAGATCGCCCCAAACGCACCTGATTTTGGCGGAGGCCTTGACGTTGACCAGCCGGAGGATCTCGTCCTTCAGCGTCCTCTCCACCGCCGGCGCCTCCCCCGCCTCCTCCCCCGTCTCCCCCTGGGTTCTGCGGAGGGAGGGGGGGAGAAAGGCAGTGAGCCCACGTCCCGCTCGAGAGCGAGACGGACTCATTCAGCCCCGAGTTTGACAGAAAAAGCTAAAAAACTCCAGGATCTGAGTGACCGAAAAGCTGTTGCTTGAACAGATTAATGAAGGTTTAAAAGTGGGCGGAGCCACAACTGAGGAGCCGACACCCACTCAGTTGAAGAAGAAAAAAAAAAAAAGTGGATTGAGTGAGAATTTAAAAATATTCCTCTAAAATATATTCAGGTAAATAACAAAAATATACCTCTTAATAAGAGGAAATGACTATCTTAGGGTAGGGATATCTCGATCCAGCTTTTTTCACTGGAACAGTGAACAGGGATTTACTATGATAGCAACTTAATGGTTGGGACACAGACCTGTGGGTTAGGAGATGCTAATGCTAATGCTCCTGTGGGATCGGACTTAAAAAAAAACTGGATCGGCGCAGTTTTTTGCAAATATCGGCAGCTGATCTGATCCAAATATCGGATCGGGACGAGCCTATCTTAGGGTAGAGAAGCTTTCCTGACCCTGACCCTAGCTTTCTGCTGTCTGCCTATCTGCAAACCGATCTGATCCTGAACACCACCCGGGCCCTCCCGGGACATTTCAGGCTCCGGCTCCTCCCCCCACAAAAACCAACTGCGTGACTCTGGACCGGTGAGAGCTGGAGCACTTACTTGGCCGCCCTCTTCTTGGCTTTTTTCAGCTTCTTGGCCATCTTCTTCTGCACCTCCTCCTCGGACAGCACCGTGAAGAGCTCCAGCACCGAGTCGTTGCCCTGGTACAGATACACACGGGCATTCAATCATCCCAAATACGAGTTCAATACGAGTTCAAGTTATGGAGGAAAGCTATTAAAACGTTTCTGATGATTTTTCTTTTTGTTTGGTTTTTTCGCAGCCACAATGTGCTGAGAGGAATTAAAGGCTGGATTCTATCTGGACCAGATGTGTTCTGCCCGTTTGGTGGCGGTGTATTGGAGGGGCTGTAGGCGCTCACATGGCAGGCGAGCACTCGGGCCCTGGCGTCGGCGGCCATTGACACCACTCGGTCCCGGGCTTCTCTCAGGAGGGAGCCGGCCTTCTTACAGCTCAGGATGCGCTGAGGAGAGACAACGCCCAGCAGGGGTCAGAAACAGTCTGAGGCCCCAAAATACAGCCAGCCCAAACAGATTTCGGCCCCCCTGGCAGATTTATCGTGTTACAAGGAGGCGTCTTAAAGCATAAATTAGATTAATTTAATTAAATTCTTTACGGATAAAGTGTTAATCGGAGAGTCTTTCTAAGTAAAACTGTACCTCTTCCACACTTTCATCCTCCCCCTCCGCACTGTCTCCATCCTCCTCCAGCAGAGTTTTCCCCTTCTTTACTTTGGGCTCGCCTTTGGCTTTCTCCTGGACAGAACCAGAACCAGAACCGGACACAAACGGGGTTAAAAAGCGGGGACGGCTAACGGGCCGCAAAATGACAGGCGGTGCGTCGCGGACGTGTGTAAAACGAGACGCGTTTCGGAGGGAAGACCTCTCCTCACCTCCTCCAGGTAGCGGATGTCCCAGGCCCGGAGCTCGCTGTCGGCCGAACCGGTCAGCAGCCGGCTCTGCCCGTTCAGCAGCACCATCCCCCAAACCTGCCGGAGCCACACACACACCGTCACCCCCACGTCAACCCCCCCCCCAAAAATAAATAAACAGGACGTCTGCCGGAGGAGAAGCTCCCACCTCACTGCGATGGCCCACCATGGTCTGGAAGCAGTGCTGCGTGTCCAGATCCCACCACTTCACAAAAGTGTCCTTGGAGCTAGGGACACACACACACACACACACACACACATACGCATACACACACAGACGCACCCACAGTGTTATTACAGGATTATGAGGGTGTAATAGCAGGTGCTATCTGCTCATTCCCACAAAGTGCTGTGTGTCCTGTCGGATAGTCACAGGAAACAGGAAACGTGGTTTGCTTCTCAATATGGGACTTCAAAATCAATCATTTCTGGGTCCTATTTGTTTTGTTTTTCTCTGCGAAAAACTGGAGATGTTTAGCAGGTCTTAAACACCAGGATATAAACTATCCCATCAAATGTTGTTGAGTGAAACTTCCACTCATCCCTACCAGAGTCTGTGAGCTTGGATGTGTTATTTAGGGATGTCCCGATCCAGCTTTTTTCACTTCCGATCTGATACCGATCCCGGCCTATCAGAGCATGTATTAAAGTTAAAATTATTTATCTACTTACTTAGTAGTCAGACTCATGTTGAACAGGGATTTACTCTGATAACAACTTAATGGTTAGGACACAGACTTGTGGGTTAGGAGATGCTAATGCTAATGCTCGTGTGGGATCGGACTTTAAAAAAAAAAACTGGATAGGCAGTCTGGATCTGCATTTTTTCCTGCCGGCCAATCCGATCCAGATATTGGATCGGGACAAGCATATGTGTGAAATAGGGACTTTTTCATTTTGTGAACGTGGCAGGAGCCATTTGTGTGAGGCGAAAGGTAGCAGGTGTGTCACCTTGTGACCAGGAGGTTCTTGTCTTTAAGGAACAGGGCCTGTGTGATGACATCTTTGTGGCCTTTCAGCCTGTAGAGCCCACACTCGTTAATGATGTCCCATACAATCACATCTGTGTCCTGAAGGGAAGGGGACAATTAAGACAATCCATGTAAGTTACAGTAAATCATCACTTTCCAATTGGTTTTTTTAGTGAAACTTTTTGGTCCTTTTTTTCTTTTTTGGGTGGTTTTTACCTTGGATCCGGTGACGAGCCGCGCCCCCAGAGCGTCGTAGCTCATGACGCTGACCGCAGACTTGTGGCCGTTGAAGGAGACGTTGCTCTCGCCGGTCAGCAGGTTGAAAATCTTCACGGCGCCGTCCTCATAACCAACGGCCACGTGGACTCCGTCGGGGGACGGGCAGAGGAAGCTCACCTCGTGCTTCTGGCCCTGCAGGATCAAAACCTGGAGGGAAGTTGGGGAAAAAACGGTCACCTCAAAGGTTTTCCACCGGTCAGCCGGAGGATTCTCCTACGGCCGCCTCACCTTCTCTCCCTTCCGGACGTCCCAGATGAAGACGTGCTCGCACGCGGCCACCGCCACGTGGCGGCCCCTCTCGCCCCCCCGGAGCGAGACGTAGGAGATGTTGGCCTTCTGGCTGCCGATCACGCCGAACACCGCCGTGGCGGCGTAGCGCAGGTACTGCTTGGTCAAACCCATGACCGGTGGCCTGACGGGACACAGAGGAAGACAGCGCAGACTGACCAATCCGTCCGTTGATGGATCTGAAATGCGGTTTTACTCCCGAAACACTGCCACGATAATCTTTGTGAAGTATGCGAGGCATTTGATTCCAACAGGAAATTCATTAGTGCAGTTAAGATTCAGTAAAATAACATAAATTATAACTAAAATAATAATAATATGCCCTGAATTTCCTATAGTAAAATATGCCGAAATGCAATGGGAGATAGGCTTCCGACAGGAAGCCTGATATCTGTGTTTATTTTTTCAGAAAAATACTTTTATTTAAGTTTTATGTTAGTTTTTTTGTTGTGATCGTGGTGTCGTTATTCCTACAACTGTGGGGCAAACTGGTACTTGGTATTAAGGGACGTGAATAAAACTTTCTCTATCATTTTGAATTACGTTTATTTCTATTATCTGCTGGAGTCTGCAGGTTGTCTGATTGGTCCCACCATCCATAAACATGTACATTAAACTAATTATTGATGCTACATGGAAATTAAAGTGACTGAGTGAGCATGGCTGCTTGTTTTCCTTGGTGTATTGGTGACCTATCCAGGCTATTAATTGCCCAGTGACAGCTTGATTAGACCATTTTTAAAGCTCTAAACTCGCTTTTAAGTTAATTTCCTTAACACATTTGGAAGGTTTCTAGCTAAATAGCTAACGACAAAGTGATAGCTGCGTTTGTTTTACAACACAGCTTCTCCCGCCTAGCTTTGGTTTACCGCCTTTAGCTGTTTGATTGAAGCATAACTAGTTACCCCGCCCCTCTAACGCGTAACAAGGTCTTCAATCGAGCTCACCCGGTGCCTGTTCCTGAGCACACGTGGTGATGTTCTCGCCTAAACCGAACTTAGGAAAACCAACAAAACATTCATTTCTGTCCACAAATGTTGCTCCTAATGCTAAAGAGGGTGAGGAAAGTTTAACATGTCTGAGAGTGTTTAGTTTGTCTTCTTACTTTTAAACGGTGGTGGCAGCCAGCTAACTTGTGTTGTCCTCCTTGCGTGTTGTTCCGACTCAGGCCAAACTAATCAATGAAAGATCGATCAAAACGCAGGAAAAACGCGAGGGAGCCTACACCACTAAATAACTGTTTAAAATATGCATATAATGATTTTGTTTATTTGTAGTATTTGCTGTAAATGGCAGGCGGAACTGGTTATATTTTTTGTGTGTTTCTATTTTGCTTGTCGATCGATTTTGGTCTGTTGCTTTTGCCTGCAATACCAGAAAAAATAGATTTAGCTTTCTAAAGGTGTCAGTGTGAAAAAAATAAATATATGAACAATCTCTTTTGAAATAGAAAATGCATTTTAAGTTATACGTATATATCTACATTTTGAGTCAGTTATCTGGTTCATGGTTGGAGTTTGTGGTTAACACCAACACACTGACTTCTCACCGGTTTCCCAGCAACCACAGCGGAAGTGATACTGCTCCCTTAGTCAGCTGACCAAGTCAAATATACACTAAACAGAGTCACCAATACCGGAAGCTACTTCGTGATTGTGATAAAATAAGAGCCTATGTTTGCAGCAAACGAAAACAGATGGCTCGCACCAAAAAGTTTCATTTTGAACAAGCAACAAGACCGTTACCGTAAATTTTAGAGTGCACTCTTTGACAGAGAATGATATCTAAGTAACTATTAGCCAAAATATTGCACATATGGCACAGTTACTTTTTTTTCTTAAGAGTGTTGATTCACAATTTGTTGTGAAGTGAGACATTCCTGGAAATGTATAAGTTAACTTGATATTATGCAAAACAATTCTACACTATATGCTAAAAAATTTAACTAAACACAGACAATAAAAAATCATTTATTAGTATATAGGAGAGAAAAGATGTGCTGGTCTACATTTAAAAGATGACTGTAAATTTTAAGTTGCAGTGAAGGTGGAGTGTGCATATTTGGTACAATGAGGGGCATTTATTGCCTTGGTTCTAAGCCAAATGTCGTAACCTAATTAAAATATAGTCGTTAAGTGCATGTGGTACACATACACAGAGTATATTTGAAAGAACGTTTTCAATTTGTAAAAAAAAAAAAGGATTTTTAAATGCTCATTTATTTTTGAAATTCCAACCGGATGTAGTTCAGTTTTTGGCAGCTAATTTATTCGTGGCCAAAGCAGACAGCTAGTAGCATGTTTGCTAAGTGTGTAAACCGGGTTATGTGGGACTTTTAAACTTATTATCTCCCTGCTTTTGTGGCTGCTTTGTTTGTTAACATGACGACGCACATTTGTAGCGTCGATACCCGCTGATTTCATCAGTTGTCGTGCGGAGATTTATTAATTATTTATATTTTTGGCGTGGACATCACCTCTGTCTGGATTGGCTAGGTATGTAAATGCTGATTTAGCTGCTATAAAAAAAACAAAAAACACAGCTGAAAATGCTAAATGCAGTCCTCAAAGATTTATAAGGCCCATTTCCCTATTCGGAGTTTAAGTAAAAGTAACTCCAAGGATAAGGAAGTTCCGTAAACTATGAGGAAATTTGATTATTTAAGGGTAGAACGACAGCTTCCTCTGAGCAAAGTCGTCTTTATTTTTCCAACAGAAATTGTGTTTTCGGTTGATTTGTTTAATTGTGTGTAACTGTGACACTGAAAGCTCAGTCACCATTATTGTCAGGTGATCTACTGTTTTTTCTTTTTTTTTTGTTGGCCCAACAGAATAAGCACAGCTCTTCACATTTAAAAAGAAGAGTTTTTGTCTTATTTTATGTGTATGAATAAGCTCCAGATGATCAATTAACATTTGGATGGTAGCAAAAAAAGAAGAAGTCAGAAATGGCCAAATATGAGAACCTGGAAAGAGTAAGAAGGGCATTTCTGTTCCACAAAATGACTTAATCACAATCAAATTAGTTGCAGAGTAATCCAACGATCCACCTCAGTTGATCTTGTCATTATTAGTAGTTTGATCTAACTTATTAAGTTACAAACTGAAAGCATTTGATGTCTGTGACCGAATAAAACTGTATAAAAATATGGAGTTTGATACGAAAACTCACATTATCTAGACATCACTCATGCTCATATTTAGTAAAGCATGGAACTATATATAAACTTAAACTATAAACCGATTAAAGTATTCCTGCATGCTGAGTTCTTGGTGAGTTTGTTGGTTAAAACGAGTCTAATCTGGTTTATGTTGCTTTAGGCTGACTGATAGTGGGATGAAATGCTACAAAGAATATCTTTTTACACTTTTCTTTTTTTAGTGTTTATTGCCCAAAAGACAGTTTCCTCTGAATTGGCCTCATAGTAACAAATATCAGTAGGACTTTGTAGGAAACTGGATGATTCTGAGAGGAAAATAGCTTCATTGTGTTTCCACGATGTGAATGAAACTGTGTGTGAATGAATGGAGGCTACAGAGCAAAAAGAACTATATCAAGCTTTTCTTTTCATATGACTTTTACTTTTGAAAGGGGGATTTGTTTTTCGGTCTTACTCAGTCATACATTAGAAAACTGGCATTCGAATAAATCCAAACTGTGTCCAGTTGGAAAAACAGTTTGGAAACGCTTGTCAGGGTAGATCTGACCCCTCTCAGCTTGATATGGAAATCAGTTGATGTAGATTTTTCTTGCTATTTTTTTTTTCTATTTGGGCTTTTTTTTTAAAAAGCGGAACGAGTCGGAGGGCTCGCGTGATGGATCCTCTGGGTGCCCGCTCCCAGTTTGTGGACGTCCAGACTCTTCCAACATGGCAGCAGCAGCTGGGAGAGAGTGGGCAGGAAACGCCCGCGGACCAGAGCGACGGCCTGCTGGGCCCGGAGTCCTTCCCCTCTCCCTTCCCCTTCAGACCAGACCTCAACCGCAAAGTCGTCCTCTTGTGAGTCACTCCTGCGTTTTCTGCTGTGGGCTGAACCGCCCTCCATTATGGGGTTTGCTCTCTGTGTTAGGATGCTATTCATTGATAATAAGACTATTCAGTCCCGCAGTTGAACATGTAATAAACAATACCTGTAGAAAACCTTTTATTATATTGAATTGACGGGTCTACAGATTGCATATTAGAGTAAAATGAAAAAAGAAATGACAAAAGGAGGAAAAAAACATTAAACTTTGAAAATTCCAGGTATGTTTTTTCTTAATGGGTTAATGTAAAAACAATGAAAAGTTAATTTTATTGTAACAAAATGAATTAAAAGTAATCAAGGGTGATCTTTCATATTGGATCTCATCTGGATTTCATCTATTTTTAATCGGGCTGTTTCAGGGACAAACTGCGTACAAAAAAAACCGGCACCAAATGTAAATGAGGGCTTTATTAATGTGTTACGAAGCCTGAACATCTTTTGTACAGCGTGATGGAGTTTTTCCTCCAAAACAACCATGTTTGCATGGTTATTTAACGGCCAAAGGACCCTTTCATCAAGAGCTCCTCAGTTTGTCTAAAAGACCACAAACCGTGATTAAATAGTTTTTGTGGAAAATGCTGGTTTGCATTAAATTTGAGGTGCTTTCTTCTTCAGATTTTTTAGATCTCTCCTTTTTTTCGTTTTGGAGTTTTACACATTGCTCTGTGCCGGTATGAGGCCTCCATATGTCATGTGATCAGTCCTGTTTGAACTTTGAACTTGCATATTGATGTTGCCCTTTGACCCCTTCACATTTAGGTTATTGTGTAACAACTTTCTTTTTTTTAATTAATAGTGCAAAATGATATCTAGATTTTAGAAGGAAAACAAATGAAAAACAGAAATCTGGTGTGTTATTTTTTAAAACTTACTAATGAGGTTCATCAATGCTTTAAAGATAAAAAAAATGCCAAAGTTAGTCACTAAAATGTTCATTTTGTGCACTACGATTTCTTTTTTGCTCAGAGTTTGAGTTGAATGAATGTGAAAAGCACCAGGGTTTGGGAACGCTGCTTTTGATTTGCTACACGACCACCTTTCCTTTGGAAAAATGTGCCCGTGATCCAGACAAAGCCTGAGACCTGAAGGCCTGCCGGACCGTTCAGACATGCCGCTTTCCCGCTTTGCTTCGGAAATAAAAGGGCGTCCTGTGACTTTTGCCTTGCTCTGTTCAGTAAAACGAAATGTGTTGAAGGAGTGATTTCTTATTCGTCTCCCTCCATCCAAAGCCGCTTTGTTCCACTCAACCTGCGGACTCTTGGAATGCTAACGGGATCCGCTATGGCAGCGCGACGTGCGAGTAAACCCGCTCCGGCCACTTTAGTGATGGATGTCCAGTCTGGTCTCGCTCGAATGGCAAATATCACATGCTCAGCGTGGCTGTTTCTGCCACTTCAGACTTCCCTCAATGAAACCGGGCGGTTTGAGACCCAAAATTTAACGTCACACACACAGAAAATCGCACAATTTGATTTGATTGTGGCCATCTGTGTGAATTTTTTTAATATCTGAGCGCCGTCCTTCTGTTTCGGAGCAGAGCTTTAAATCTGCGTGTAGCTTGTCCCCCTCCACGTGCTCATCCAGACCAGCTCAGAGTCCAGAACCCCCCTTCTGAAATCCTCTTTGCAGAGGAGCACATGACCACGTGTGACTGGACTTTGCAGCAGTTTTTCTGTAGGAGCATTGTTCCCGCAGAGGTAACATGACCAGAAATCAGGGAGAAGTGACCCTGCAGCAGTGGCACCTTTTTATCTGGTGATAAACAGGTCTCCATTCAGAAAAGGTCGGATAGAAATCAGAGTTTTTGTCCTGTTCTGTCCTTTACGGATGCAGATCTAAAAAAAAAAAAGAACAATACTGTTTAGCAAACACTCATGTTTTCTCAGTCCATGTAATTAGTTTGTTCAGTTTAGGCCTCACATTAGCTATTTTGGATCTCTTTGCTTTAGCTTTAGCTTGGACCTGCTAACCCACGCTGCTGTTTCCTCTCTGTTGGATCCACACAAACCTGGAGGGCTTCACTGATGTAACATTAGAGGCCGTAAACCTTCGCTCAATACTCTCACTACTCTCGCAGTCGCTTGTTCTCAGATAAGAGAGTCAGAGCCGTCATCGCTATCTCGCATGAAGCTAAATTCAGCTGATGTCATGGAAGGGGTCAAAGGTCACGCCGACAGCGTGAGCTTTTCACAGAAAGTCGACTACTAAATGTTTGGTCATCAATTCAGTGACCGGACGAGACGAGTTATTTGATGCTCTGGGAAGCGACGCAAGCTTTTGTTTTCAATTTTCAGAAATCCATCTTCTCTTTCAGAAGACGTTCAGTGTTAAACAGTCTCTTGTTTATGTGATGTTTGGCCGGACGAACTAAAAATTGTCTCTCTTTTTTTTCCCTCCCCGCAGCACCGGGGACGTGGCCCTGCTGAGCTGCACCGCCATCGTGAACACCAGCAACGAGTCGCTGAACGATAAGAACCCCGTGTCCGACAGCATCCACCAGCTGGCGGGGCCCGAGCTGCGGGACGACCTGCTCAAGCTCAAAGGTACAGGTCAAAGGTCAGCGGGTTAGGGTTAGCCGCGCTGCAGCCCCTTCGTATTACAGGTGTTGGACATTAACAGGCACCCGGCTGAAACTCTTTTAGGAATAGAGTAGAACCTCTACATACAAATTTTACTCGTTCCAGGACCTGCTTCCTATGTTGAAATATTTGTATGTTGGTTCAAATATTCCCATAAAAATACACTGTAATTCGTATAATTCGTTGCACAGCCCAAAAACTTACGATAACTCCTTGATAAATACTGTAGATAATTACACATAGAAATAAAACAAAGAGAGATGTAAAAATAAATAAATTATAAAGAAATAATCAATAAAAGGGTTTTTTATTGATGAACGGAGGCGGAGACTGAGATACAGGATGAACTGTAACTTACTCTAACTTTCACTACCTGAACTTTAAACTAACTTAGCTTATTTATTTTAAAGTAATTTTTATATTTTATGTATTTTTTTTCTATGTCTTTGACGGCATACGTCATGGTGGAAATTTACTTTGGGTCTCGAGTCGAATATTTGATCGAATTTCACTTCGGATGTTGAAAAAAAACATAGGTAGAGGTTCTGCTGTAATCCTGAATGACAGGATTGTTCCATAAAGAAATTATCATCCACTCAAGCTGCAGGTGTTTTAAAGCAAACGGTGTAAAACAGAGCACATCTCCATTAAAGGTCAAATCTAGAGTCTGTCCGTCCGTTGGCTAAATCTGTCGTCCCTTAGGGTGCCGGACGGGCGAGGCGAAGCTGACCGAAGGCTTCAACCTGGCGGCGAGGTTCATCATCCACACGGTGGGGCCCAAGTACAAGGCCAAGTACAGGACGGCGGCGGAGAGCTCGCTGTACAGCTGCTACCGGAACATCCTGCAGCTGGCCGTGTAAGAACCAGCAGCACCATTAGCCCCCGGGCCTCCAGGAGGCCGCCTTCTGCATGTATGCGATGAGACGCAGGCCGGGCCTCCGTCCGACGAGTGATTCATCCTTTCCCCGACCTCTCAGACTCTATTTGATAAACACATTTTTGATGAAAGCTAGTCAGAGCTTTATTGTTTTTCCAGAAAGAGTCGGCGGGATTAATCATAGCCGCAGCTGTTTGGCATCCTAAATGAGGATTAGGTCAGTAAAGCTGAAGAAGATGTCGTTCAGGAGTCAAATCAGAGTCAGACAAGCTGCTCAGCTGTATCACTTCAAACCACAATTAGCTGCTTCATGAGCCATTGTTGATGCTTTTATACACTTTTAGTCACATTTTCCTCTCCTTGTTTTCACCATTTCCCTGCAAATTCTAAGCTTTTTGACGCTGTCCGTCCTCCTTTGGCCTGTTTAAAGACGTGAGCCGAGTTAGAAACATCTAACGGGAGTTTTTCTGCCCCACAGCGAGCAGTCGATGACGACCGTGGGCTTCTGCGTGGTGAGCACGACCAAAAGAGGATACCCGCTGGAGGACGCCACACACATCGCCTTCAGTAAGACGCACACAAACGCGGGCCTCAGGGAGGCTCAGACCTTTCCGAGCATGTCGTCGAATGCGTCTGCAATCAGGAGCAAGAAAACTCAGAGTTCCAGCAAAAGAGCTGAGACCAATGTAGAAATAATGTGTTTCTGTGACTGATCTTTAGAGAAAGATGCACACAAATATTTAACTAATATTCTAGTTTTTGGAGTCGCTTTCCTTTGTCTGGTCTGATTAGAATAATGAAAGCTTCTCGCTCTGCTGATGCTGCTTGTTCAAACGCACGTCGGGCTGTAAACTGAAGGTGACGGTGGCGTGTCGTGAATTCACAGGGACAGTGCGCCGCTTCCTGGAGAATCACGGGAACAGCATGGAGACGGTGGCATTCGCCGTGTCGGACACGGAGGAGGTTCGTCCCAATCCCCCTCTAAGAAAATGGAGTCACAGAAAACCATTTTGAAAGCTCAGGACGCTCCTGTGTGTGCAGGAATCTTCTGAGATGTCTTGTAAATGTAAATTGGCGCGCTTGTGTGTGTGTGTGTGTGTGTGTGTGTTCTCTCAGGCTGTGTACAGAAAGCTGCTTCCTCTCTACTTCCCTCGCTCTGAGGCAGAGGAGAGGGCCTCCCTCCCTCTCATCCCGGCTGACATCGGCAACTCTGAGGGGGAACCCGTCGTCCCAGAGAGACAGATCCGCATCACAGAGAAACCAGGCACCCTGGAAGGTACCCCCTTCTTTTAGATTTTACAAAAAAATGTTGGCAAACTAAAAAAAATAAAAAATTCTCGCCAGTAGTTTATTTGAATAAGAAGGTCTAAATGAAAAAACAAGCTTGCCAATAAGTTATTTGGCATAAAGATGTCCAACGTGTGGAATTTCAAATAGCCTTTCCCTCCGTTTCCGGTCAGAATCTCTCACTCGTTTTAACCTTCGCAGGGGAACATTTCTGCCCACCAAATCAATTCAATTCAATTCAATTCAATTTTATTTATATAGCGCCACATCACAACAACAGTTGTCTGACAGTGCTTTCCAAACAGAGCAGGTCAGACCCTACTCTGAAGTTAATTACAGAAACCCAACAATTCCCACCATGAGCAAGCACTAGGCGACACAGGCAAGGAAAAACTTCCTTTTAACAGGCAGAAACCTGGAGCAGAACCATGGCTCAGGGTGGGCGGCCATCTTCCTCGGCCGGTTGGGGGTGAGAGAGAGAAGGTCAGAGGGAGCAGAGAGAGGCAGCCTACACAGCAACAAACCAGCCGTTGATAGATCAGAACCCGTCTGTGTTTTATTCAGACTGTTATTTAGCCGACCGTGGGACTTATTCTCCACCCCGAGGCCTCGGCCGGCAGACCAGACGTCAGCCGCCCGCCCACCGGGTGTAACTGCACACAGCTGCAGCAGCATCCCATAAAAACGGAGGTCTGGGAGAGACATCGAGGGTTGACGGGGATAATGTTTTAACCGGTGGCTAGTGAGTCAGCTGTAGGCCATGGAAGAATTGAGAGGATGCTAAATCGGTAACGGGTAACTCACCTACTCGTCTGTGTGTCTTTGGGTGCTTTCTGGCTTCCTGTTTATGTTTTCCAGAGTCGGATCCACAAAGAGCTCCTGCTGCCATCCTCTTTTAGGTCTTTTCCTATTTCTTCCTTCCAAAAGAAGGATTTTTAACAGACATCACCGTGTTATTTGTCCCCTGTCTTTACAATTAACTGACGTATAAATTGATTTTGTTCTCCGTTGTCTCGTGTTTTGGGGAGAAGTGGAAGAGGAGGTTTGTTTCTCGGAGGCTGTTCTGATCTGGCTTCAGTTTACAGTTATCCCACCCAAATACACAATAAGTGATGGGTTTTATAGGGATAGGTTGGAGAAATCTGGCAGAGAGCGGGTGAGAGCCAGAGGGAACGCAGCATCGGTTAGATTAGACTTTCATCCTTCTTGGTGCCAGCTGGAAGCAGAAGTGAGTTTTCTTCCATGTTTGGTTTGCAGTTATTAATGATCTTAGAAAAGTCCAGCATTTCCTTGGCTTCAGGGTAGAGAAGGGAGTCTAAAACTCCTGTAGGCCTTCATGTAAACCGCAGTTTGCGTGACCTCTCCGGGCTTTGAGCTGGAACTGTAAATGTTTGGCTTTAGTTAGGTGGACTGAGAGACAAATTTCGAAGATTGATGCTTCCCCAGAGTGCTGATCCAAACCGGGCAGGCTGCTTTTAGACGGAGCCCGGCAGCGGGACTGTGCAGGATTTCCGCGTTTGGGGCAGCCAATTGATGTGTCGTCCCTTTGTCCCCCTAGACGACTGCGAGGAGAGCCTGGAGCTGGACCTGGGGCAGGTGGGCACCCACGCCTTCGCCCGGATGGAGGGCGACGTGGACAAGCAGCGCAAGCTGATCCTACAGGGCCAGCAGTCCGAGGCGGCCGCACACAAACAGCACCAGAGAAAGTAAGTAGCCCCCTTAAAGACGGCCAGGCTTTAAATACGCCAGACTCCAAATTCAGATATTCAGCCGGACTTTCTATAACCAGTTCTGATCAGAATAAGAATCAGAATCAGAAATACTGCAATAATCCCAGAGGGAAATTATTTAAATTTATCTGATCGGTTTCAGCTGTGCGACAGTATCACTGATTCAGGAAGCCAGACGTTTTAATGAGTCTGCTTTTGGTCAGAAGAAGCTTAAAGCTAATTATAGAGCACACAGCGGCCATATCTAGTCTTTTTATGAATAAAAATTATGTGAGGAAATATCAGTTTCCGAAATGCGTCGTGACATCTGTTTGTTTTTTTTTTCTAAATAATGATTTTTAAAAAATGCTTTCTTTGCAACCTGTGTGCAGACTTTAAACGGAAGTTCTGCCCCCTGATGAGGCTCAATTTTTTTCTGGGTGGTATTCATTCCCCACTGACCAGCTAAATGATGTTGTGCACGCTGAGCTGTGTTATTTAGAGCTCTCACGTATAAATTATTAACTCCAGTTTTACCATATGTGGCATAAGGAGAAATATCCAACTGTTTGTCCACTCTGGGGGTTCAGGTGGGTGTTCATCCTGCATCAAGTTTATTTAGCTTCCTGTTTTAAACCTGCAGCTACAGCCGCTGGCTGTGTCGAGCCAGAGCAGAGGACCTGTCAGACGTGGCCGCGCTGAAAGCCTTATATCAGACCGGTAAGTAAGGCTCACTCTGCCGGTGGGGTAAAGTCATCCAGTTTCCCTGGCCTCAATCACAGAATGACCAAAATCACCCTCACAGGCCCTAAAACGCATAGCTGAACCAAAGAAATATTAAAAAGTCAAGTAATCACAACCTATTTAATGACCCCCAATAATTGTATATGTTCATCTATCTCAGAGGTCCCATTTAACAGCTTTTTTCCAGTCAGATTTTGTTTTTGTTTTTAATGGTTCTTTACAGGCTTTTGCAGAATCTGACAGGCAGCTGTTTGGACATCCATTTAATTCGATTGTCAATCAGAGAAAGTGCTGAAATCTGTATGGCATTGTTCGCCTCCCTCCCAGAGCTGGAATTTGACAACACTGAGCTGAATATTTCCCAGCATCTCTGCATTCTGTCATTGCTGGGCTGCGTCTGCCTGCGGTCACCAGCAGGGGGCGGCATTTCCCTCCATTAGGACATGATTCTGCACATCTGAAGGAGTATTAGACACTTCACAGGCCTGGACTCAAGTCAGATGGGGAAAACAAAACTCTTGTCTGGTTTGAATCTTTATCACTCAGGATGGTAACAAAGTTAAGCCTGTTTGTTTGGAGGAAAAGGGCTTTCCAAAAGACCGCGACTTCTTCTTCTTGTGAACTTTCTTGGTTGTGATTGTGAATCTACCAATTTAAAAATAAATAGGATAAATGAAGTCATAGTTTTAGTTTAAGCCTCAATATCACGGGGCTAATGAAAAAAAAGCACCAAATTTACAGACATTTGTTCATTTTCGAATAAATTGAATATATTGAACAGTTTTTACCTTAAAGATACACTTTAAAAATGCTTATAAATGCACACTTTTGAATGTATTACTTCTTTTTATTAGTTTGAAAACTTTTGAATGACTTTTTTTTTAAAGTAGTGCCTCATTGATACCGTATATATGTTATTGAGTTTACTCAGTATCTCAGAAATTGTCCAAACGACCCAAAAATCTCACTTAACTCTTTTTTTAAAAGGTGAAATCAGAGAAAATCCATTCAAACTAAATCAACAGTGACGGTCAGGCTGCATTTAAGGCTTGACCTGATCATGTATTTCCCCTTTCGCTGTGTGTGCGTAGGTGTGGATATGTGTGGCAGGACAGTGATGGTTATTGTCGGACGAAACATCCCAGTGACCCTCATTGATATCGAAAAGGTAGGAAAAATCATACGATGATAAATCATTTCTATTTTGATGTGCGCAAAAACAAAAATACTGATGACTTCCATCAGCTTATTCAGATTTAGAGTTCAAGCTTTTCAAGAAATGCTGCTTCAAAAACAACATTGAAATCCCTGCAGTCTTTTTAAGGTCTGCTTTCGGCCCTGGTTTATGGTTTATTTAAAAATAAAAACCCTTGGTTTTGTTTCTGTGTTCAGGCGCTGCTGTATTTCATCCACGTGATGGATCCCATCACGGTGAAGGAGTATGTGATGGTTTACTTCCACACGCTGACCGGCGAGCACAACCATCTGGACTCCGACTTCCTCAAAAACCTCTACGACATCGTCGACACAAAGTCAGTGTGACATTTTTCACTTTCCTGAATAAACCGAGAGCCGGGGCGCAAACCCTCTCTGTGAAATGCATGCTGGGAAGTGATCCCTTTGTAACATTTCAAACCTCTCAACAGACCTTAAACGCCTCATTTTGTATGGTCATAGAAAGCTGATTCAGACAGGAGAAAACATCACGGTTTTGTGCAGAGTTCAGCAGGCTGACGTTAGACACTGAGTACTCAGAAAAGCTTTATGGATTCAATGAAGCTGTATTTCCTGCACACGTGGAACTGTGGACTTTTTATCAGATGACGCTGTGGTTTCAAAATGACGCGGCATAGGAACGAGCAAATTTTCAAATGCAATCTGTTATGTGAAGAAGACGTTTTGAGCCACAGGCCATGTTGTCCATGCTTGTTAGTCCGCTTTGGGAAGCTTCAAAGAAGCTCAGGAGCATTTTAAAAGTCCAGTTTAGGTCAGAATGGATCGGATATCTCCTTAAAAATGCTGTCCCTCATTGGGGGAAATTCAGGTGTATTAGCAGCAAAATGACACTAATGTAAAAAGAAAAAAAAGGAATTAAGAGATTGTACAGTGAACATAGAACAACAGCTTATTCACAGGTAATGAGAAAAACTGTCAGTGAGGCGTAGCGTCCGCTTCATTAAAGCCACAAAGAAGTCGTCCGGGAAACGAGGATTTGCTGTAACGCGGCACACAGATGTGAAGGGACGGCGATGTTTGTCACGACAAACACAGCATTAAGTCGTCACACGCGGAGTCAAACCAGGCCGCTCTGGTTCTAATCTGCTGGGAGGCTCACCAGCGACCACCATTTTTGATCCAGTTTAATAGGAGCCACATCCTCCTAATAAAAACCGTAACTGTTGACGGTTCCCGGCGAGAGTGGGAGCAGATCCACATCTGGGCGCTACAAAAAAAGCCGTACCTGTGAAGTCCTCCACCTTTAAGTGGACGTATGGAGGAGCACCGCTCTGCCAGACTGTAAATGAACTCCTGTCTTCTAGGAGCTTTTCGCTCTTCTAAAGCCTTCAGTTCCAAATGTTTTTGGAAAGCTTTTATAAGGCAAATAAAATAGGGTTATTACTAAAGCACGGCTTTGTAAAAACGTCCGTCAGAGTTTGCAATTCCTTCTTGTTTAGACCCCGTTTTATATGCTGCGTTTGAAAGGAAACGGCCTGGTTTTACACATGCATTTTTGGATCCTTCTACTTTGATTTACATATAGTTGGGTTATCTGGATTGTTTTACCTAACTCAACATGGACCTCAAGATCCAAAACCTTATTGGGAATTCCTCTCAACTGCAATTGACACAATAAAAATACAAAAACTAGAGTGTGCCGGGCTGATAAAGCTCATTCACCTTTTCTAGTTTTTCCTCCTCTGGTTTCTGGTAACCACAAACCGTCGGGGGGGGGGGAAACTCCACGCAGTCATTCTGCACCGTTCAGCATGCGTCTTCCTGTATCTGTCAGCTTTCTATGACAGTTCAATCAGTTGGTTTCACCCCTCTTCACCTTTCTTACTCACTGTGGGAGGACAGTTGCTAGCAGGAAAAAAAAAACTCCTGATCGTTCCTTTTAGCGCTACGTCATGAACTCAACCAGTGACGTAGTGGAGATTTGAACCTAGATATCCGGTTCCTGCCCTCACCTGCGAATCAAAAAGCTTCCTCTTTCTTCGGAACCGGGAAACCCCGCTCGGCCTTTATCGATAGCTGTGAATGCGTTAGCACATTTTGCTGACTCATGCCGAGGCTGAGGGCGTGATGCTAGCCCCGTTCAAATGTCAAAGTTATTTCTGAAGTCTCAAAAAGCTTTTGGCCCAGAAACCAACAGAAAGGACTCGGCCCAACAGCCCCGAGTCACATTTTTGATTCACTTCTTATTCTAAGAATAACCGTCTTTACACAAGTGGGTTTTTGATATTTGAGAACTGCTGAAACCTTCCTTCAAACTTTAACAAAAATACCTTGAAACTTAAGCTGAATATCTGTACTTTAAGGCCATATTCTTTCATTCATTTGTCTAAGAAGCAAAGATTTTTATCAGGCTTTTTTAAAAATCACGGCACAAACTACCATAAACTTTCATAAACAGAAATTAACAAAAAAGAGAACATAATCATCACGTTTACGACCAAAGAAATATTATTATATTCACAGTCGACAGTATTAGTTGAAATTCATTCAAATTCATGCTTCCTCCAAAAGGGGGTTGTCGTTTATCTCTGCGACTGGTTTGTTAAATGGGACAGGATTTAATGCGCCCGAGAACACAAATAAGCGCTACAGACCATAGCTCAGCTCCTGCCGATCACTGGAGGCCTCCCATAATCGGCCTTTAGCTTTTCAGATGGAGCGTTTAGTTACCTGCTCAAGCGTCCAGCAGCCGTTTGTTTTCTACCATCCCTGGGAATGGTGGCAATGGCTTCTGGTGAACTTTTGGGAACAGATGGTCCCCCTAGATTCGCCCCGTGTCCTTCCTTCCTTCATTAGAAGTTCCTGAACTGGGAGGGTCTGTCTCTGAGCACCAGTGTTTTCTCTGTTTTCCAGGTTCAAAAAGAATTTGAAAGCCTTCTACTTTGTGCATCCAACATTTCGCTCAAAGGTAAGCTTCACATACCAAGGTTTTTAAGCATTTCACCACAAAAGTGCCTCATTTTAATGCTTTAATTACTGTTTTTCCTTAATATTTCTGCATCTAAAGATTAAATTCCTACAGACCTTTCACCACTTTTTGTCCATTTTCATATTTGAACTTATTCTAAGCTGCTGTTTATCAGCTTTTATTCATGTCTATATTTAAGCGTTTTATGATATTAGTGTGGTAACTTTATGTCTTTAAAAAGTTCGACTAAAAATGACCCGCCATGTTTTTTTTGTTTCAGTTTTTTTCTGCTTTGTGAAACGTTGGCTCACACAAACGTACATTAGTCCTTCAGAATCTGGCAGAAACAGAATGATTTTCCTTTAATAACTTGGCTCTAAAGGCACTCTGTTGAAACCTTTTGAGCATTTCTTAATGGACAAAAACCCTTCTGGCGTTCCAAAGCAAACACCATTAAAGAAACAGCGCCGCCTCCTTTCCGAGATGTGTTTAGATGCGCGTTCTGGTCCACATGCAAAAATGAAAAAACTTCTAAATATTTTCCCGTCGCGTAGGCTTGCATGGCGCTCTGGTTTGTGTCAGCCTCTGCCGTGTTTACAAGAGAAGCCTCAGCGCCAGAGAGCCCACTTTCCATTGGATCATTAAAGAGCCATTAGAGTTAATCCGGTTGGGCTGATTGCTTCAGAAAGCAGTTTTTTTTTCTCTCTTTGGATTAACATGAATTGAGTTTTGTGTGTGTCTCTTGTTCCAGGTCTCCACCTGGTTCTTCACCACCTTCAGCGTGAGCGGCCTAAAGGACAAAGTGCGTTACCTTGACAACCTGCCGCAGCTGTTCAGCTGCATCCGGCCCGAGCAGATCGACATCCCTCCCTTCGTCCTGGACTACGACTCACGGGTAAGAGGTTCCCCCCCTGTCCCCCCCCCCCAGTCTGAGGACAGACGCACCACCTTTTTCCCACTTTCGGAGTTAAAAACGTGTCGCATCCACGGTCTGATCTTCCCAGACGATGCGGTTAACGGCCTCCATCTCGGGAAAGCTTTTGCTTTCTGCTGTTGAAGCTTAACTAGACCAGCCAAACCACATGGGGAAGGGGGGGGGGGGCAGCTGAAGGTTTAAGCTCTTCCTGTTGGTGTGGATGGAGGTTTTGATAATAGATACCAGAGTACAGGCTTCATTGAAGACAATTGTAGTTTGAGGGAAAAAAAAACGTCCTGGTTCCTCTGTTGGAGCTTTAAGAGCCGAAATGTCTTAAACTCACAGCCGGCGATCAGCTTCTTTTATGGATTTAAGTGTTTCCGTCACGCTTTTCCAGTCAGTTTTTTATTTTTTCAGGTGGGAAAGGGACACGAGTCTGTGTTTTAGGCTCCTCGCTTCACAGTCCCACATCCGATTTTTGTTCTCGGCATCTTAATGGAAACCGGTACGCCCCCAACCGTTTACGCCCCCATGTGCGTTTCATTCGCAGCACTTCTGAGCTCTGCCCCCCCCGGTGACATGTGTGCCTTCTTCTGAAAACAACACGATGATTAATCAGCTTCCTGACAAACTCAATCAGGAGGACGAGGTCGAGCAGGATGTTCTGGTTCTGGTTCTGGTTCTGAGCGCGCTCACAAGCTCCCAGTCGCTCCGGTTACAAAAGGGGCGAAAAGAAAAAGAAATCTGTACAAAAACGATGGAAAAAAACTATGTAATCTCCAGTTTTGGACGATTTAAATACAGCTTATTTGTTGAATAAAGAAAAAAATAGCAATATAATCTAACTTCCTTTTTTCTGTAAAAGATCGAATCCTGTAAACGGATGCGTGAGCATCAGCGCATGTTTTTTTTTTCATCCCGAAAAAACGACCTCCTGGTCTCCAGGCCTGGCTCTGATTGATGGGATGAGCAAAAGTTCAGTCCACATGTGAGTCTGCCCCCCCCCCCCCCCCCCC